AAGAAAAAAAAATAAAAAAAAAAAAAAAAAAATAACAAAATAAAAAAAATAAAAAAAATGAAAAAAAAAAAAAAAGAAAAAATAAAATAAAAATATAAAAAAAAAAAAAAATAAATATAAAAGATAAAAAGAAAAAAAAAAAACCTAAACCGAAATATAATTTCGCTTAATTACAAAATATAAACCCTAACCACTATTTTATCAAGCCAAACCGAAATAATATTTCGTTAATTACAAAATCTAAACCCTAACCAATATTTTATCAACCCAAACTGAATGATAATTTTGTTTAATTACAAAATCTAAACCCTTACCACTATTTTGTCAGCCCAACTGAAATATAATTATGTTTAATTACAAAATCTAAACACTAACCACTATTTTGTCAACCCAAACCGAAATACAGTTTTGTTTAAGAATAAAATCTAAATCCTAACCACTCTTTTATAAACCCAAACCAAAATATATAATTTCCTTAATAAAAATCCTACAGAATTTGTTTACTTAATTTGTTTTTTTTTTTGAATTTTGATTCTTTTTTAAATAAAAAATGACATGGCATATTGTTGTATTTTGATTGGCTATTAGAAAGGGGGTGAACCTAAGTATTTTTCAAATTTTAAATAATGGATCAAAATCATTATAAATAAGACCAATAACCTTCCAACTATACAAATGAGCAGCAAGATTGATTCTCAAGCGTCCTAACTTTTTTTTTTTTTAACAACGATTAATTCATACGAAATCTTGAAGAGTTTACAAGAGCAGAAGCTAGAGAAGCCTTTTGCAAGGGAATCAGCAACTACATTTGCTGTCTTGGGAATAAACTTACTTTCAAAAGCTTTAAAAGAAGAGATAAGGAGGAAAACATTTGAAAGAACTCCATGAGCTTCCATCAAAATAGTTTGGATGAGATAGTCTTAGCTAGGACTTGACAATCAGTATTAAGGGTTAAATCTTGTAACCCTAAATCCAAAGCCATACTAAAGGCTGGGCAGATGGCCAAGTATTCCGCTACAAAAGGTGAAGACACGAATGCACAGACATCTAAGTGTCTTGACGAAGATCCCACTACAGTGGAAAAGAGAATCCAGCCCAAACCTGCAATTCTAGAGGCTTGATTCTAAGCTGCATCAGTTAGGGCCACATTGCTCAAATCTACTCCTAGTCTTTGGTGAAACCGATTCAATCCAAAAACACTAGGGGAATGCACAAGTTCATGTGCTGCCTACCATTCCTTTGCGTCTTTAATGGCCTTCAAAAGTGATTCCTCTTCTCTGAACCTCCTGTTATTGAACACCAACTGATTCCTGGACAGCCACAAGTTCCAACAAATCCAAGGATAAAGAGGTCCCCTCCCTAGTCCTGTTGGTGGTAAAATTCTCTTCTCCCTTTGGTAGCTAATCCCAGAAAGTGTATCAGTGAAGCTAGGGACCATACTTTCTTCGCCAATTGGCAATTAAAAAGCAAATGGCAAATAGTTCTGTGCATCTAGTGCAGGAAGAGTCAAGTGACATACCCCTGGAAGCTAACTGCCTCCCAGTAGGTAACGCCCCCGCGAGGGCTTTCCACAAGAAATTTTGAATTTTAGGGGATACTTTAACATTCCAAACTTCCTTTAACATTCCAAACTTCGAATTTAAAAACATCAAGAACTGATTGTTGCCTATTTTTAGGTTATTCATTTTTTCAAAAGCCAATAAATAATACTCATACATATCCCTTAGAAAATAACCATAGAAATTACACTAGCATACAAAAAGAAGACATTCATCAATCAGAGAGTAGCAGAAAGAACCTTGTGGAAAGAAATGAACGTAGAGTAAGGGACATCAAGCACACGAGCACGCCACTCCACATTCCCCCAAATTTCACAAGTATTGCGCCTTTCAAGCGCAATCTCTGCACACCAAATCATCTCCCTATAATAGACAACCTGGTGCCACAAAAGAGCTAGCTTTCCACAATAATCAGCCATTCCAGCAAAAGTATCCAGAGGTACCTTGGCCGGTAGTCCTACCAAACCCTTGACATCGTTCCACGTTCTTGCCTCTAGGTCATACCATCTCAACACACGGTCATAAGAAGTACGCGAGTACAAAACATCATCTATCTTGCAAAAACAACGTGAATGCATATATACAGGCATGGAGTCTCCGACCTCCTCCCACCTTCATTGCTTAGGATTGTAATCAACCACATTGTACCACCCAATCACCAGGCTGACCTTTCCGCCAACACATGTGCTTAGGGAGACATCTCTGCCTTTTCCCAATCTGCGTGGGACAGTCACCACATCACATACATATGTTTTTGTGTCCAAAACCGCGAGGGAGTTCTTGAAATCCGAGCCTTCTTCTTTGCATAATCCTGTTACATAAATCTTTTGATCAAAGGAGGGTAGCGGAAACTCTAATTAGCTCAACGGGCAAGCTTGGAGCCTCGCGCCACGTGTGAGACGTGCAATCAAGAATCGAAACACTAGAGGAGCTCCCAGTACGACTGCCGCGTTGGACTGCGCCAACGTTATAGATATCAGAGCCAACCGCCACAAGACTCATAGACTCAACCCAAGGAGAACAGGGAATTGGGACTCTAGCCAAAACATAACCACCTGACTTAGGTTTGCGGCAGAGGGTGAACCAGCTTGGGCCGTTTCTACAATATTGACGTTCATCTACGCACACATAGAGACGACTCTCCCTGCGGCCCAAGAGTGACCTGGCCTTGTAAAGGCTCGGTGAAGCTACGAGAGTTCGAAAGCTCTTGGAGACGAGTGAGAGAATCAGATAGAATAATATGGGGACGCGTGCGATGATCGACAATACAAGATCCTCGGGAAGTGAAGTTAGGGTCCATTGCGAAGTCGTTGTCTTCCTCTTCATCTTCCCTCTCGATTTCTTTTACTTGCTCTTTAGGGCTCGGCGGCCGAAGGTGTTACTTTTTAGGTTATTCATTAGTTTGTTTTTTTTAATTATTTCATGTAATTACTGACCACATTCAATTTCAAAAAATCTTTTCCATCCAATATCTACACAAAATCTAAATAAATAAACAAATTAATGACTCATAATTTGGCCTATAAATAATTTACATCCAAACTACAATTACCATCACCAAACACAAACACACGTTTGGATTTTGTTATTGTAGAAAACAATGAATCATGCTTCTGTGAGATATATGATAATATTTCTAAGAATGTTTTGATGTGATTCATGCTTCTATTAGAAAGGTTACTTTATTTATATTTTGTTTTTAACGTGATATAGAGGAAACACTACAAGAAAACACGCGTATTGCGAGGGAAATTTGCTAGGGAAATAATGCCTAGCAAAATTGCGACGTTATAACTAGACTGTTGCGAGCAACACGACGCGCCTCGTAGAATACTCGCAAACTTGCTAGGGAATAGATCCTCGCAATATTGCGAGGCGCTTGCAACCACTTTGCTAGGTCACCAAAACCCCTCGCAAGGAACTAGCTAAATTGCGAGATAATAACTAGGCAACAAACTTATTAAATGATATGGCAGATGTTGTCGAAAACTGGATAAATCCCTCGCGAGTTGGTTGCAATTGCCTAGCACGTTCCCTAGCAAGTTCGTAGCAAAGTTAGGCGAAAACAATTTAAATGACTTTGACAGAGTTGTCGGGATAAAGTTCAAACTTGAGTTGGAAATTGTGAGGCAAGATTCTCTTTCTCTCGCAAACGTCTAGCAAATATCTAGCAATTCCGTAGCGAAAGTTAGGCGAAAACTTTTTACATCGTTTGACATTGTTGTCGGGATATAGTTCGCAGATTTGTTGGAAATTGTGAGACAACACTCTTTCCCTTGTAAGAGCAATCTTCCCTAGAAACTCCATAGCACTCGTTTTTTTCCCCCTATAAATAGCAAATCCATGTTGAACTGAAATCATAACTCAAACATTTGCAAAACACAAAGCTATTCTAGAAAGAAAAAGTTCTCCAAAGTGAGCCATTTGAAAAAATGGCTGGAAGCAGAGAGCATGAGATATACACAATACGACGATGGATGTACAATCATAGAGATTCGGAGACCGGTGATGTGACGAGAGAATTTTGCGATGGTTTACGGGGGTTCATGTACCAAGCAACAAACCAACCTTTTGCTCGTGATAACGGTACAATTTTCTGTCCATGTTGTAAGTGCGTAAATGAAAAATACATGGAGTTTGATCTAGTGAAGAAACATCTTTATAATAGAGGGTTTATGCTTAACTATTATGTATGGTTTCGTCATGGAGAGGGTTGTAGCGATAATGCTGGAAGTAGTACGCATAATGTTGTTGGTCAACCTAGTAATTATGAAAATTATGGGCATCAAGAATATGATCAATTTGGTTTTCATGGGTTTAACCAAGAAAATAGATTCTATGATATGGTTAATGATGCATTTCCTGAAAGTAATCCTGCTTTTGCTGAGAGTAGTACAGAAGAACCCAACGTAGATGCGAAACGTTTTTATGATATGTTAGATGCTGCAAATCAACCTATCTACGATGGATGTAGAGAAGGGCATTCTAAGTTATCATTGGCATCTAGGATGATGACAATTAAAGCTGATAATAACTTAAGTGAAATTTGCATGGATTCATGGGCTGAGTTAATCAAAGAATATTTGCCAGAAGATAATTTATCGGCTGAGAATTACTATGAAATCCCAAAGTTGGTTTCAGGTCTTGGGTTACCATCTGAAATGATTGACGTATGCGTTGACTACTGCATGATTTTCTGGAAAGATGATGAAAAGTTGCAGGAATGTCGGTTTTGCGGGAAGCCGAGATATCAGGATACTCAAGGAAGGACGCGGGTTCCATACAAACGTATGTGGTACTTGCCAATCACTGATAGATTAAAACGCTTATACCAATCAAAGAGGACTGCAGCAGCAATGAGGTGGCATGCAGAACATTCCACTGCAAATGGAGAAATTACACATCCCTCGGATGCGAAGGCGTGGAAACATTTTCAAACGGTATATCCTGACTTTGCTTAAGAGTGTAGGAATGTTTATCTTGGTTTGTGTACAGATGGATTCAGCCCATTTGGTATGTCTGGGAGGCAATATTCTTTGTGGCCGGTTATCTTAACGCCATACAATCTTCCTCAAGATATGTGTATGCAAAGCGAATTTCTATGGTTGAGTACTTTAGTGCCAGGGCCTAAGCATCCGAAGCGAGCACTCGATATATTCTTGCAACCTCTGATTCATGAGCTGAAGCAGTTGTGGAACGAAGGGGTTCAAACGTTTGATTACTCGAAGAAACAAAACTTCAATATGCGGGCAGTGCTAATGTGGACGATTAGTGACTTTCCTGCATACGGAATGTTATCTGGATGGACAACTCATGGAAGATTATCATGTCCATATTGTATGGAGCGAACTGATGCGTTTCAGCTTAAGAATGGACGAAAACCATGTTGGTTTGATTGTCATCGTAGGTTTCTTCCTCTGCATCATCCGTACCGAAAGAACAAGAAGTGGTTTAGAAAGAATAAAGTTGTGCGTGTTCCTCCACCGAGCTATGTTTCTGGCAATTATTTGTTAGAACAGATCGATTATTATGGTGCTCAGGAGACATGTAAAGTTGGAGGTAACTGGCACACCCCAGCGAATATGCCAGACGGATACACCTGCACTCACAATTGGCACAAACAGAGTATTTTCTGGGAGCTTCCATATTGGAAAGATCTCCTCTTGAGGCACAACCTGGATGTGATGCATATCGAGAAAAACGTTTTTGATAATATCATTAACACACTTTTGAATGTTCAGGGTAAAACAAAGGATAATATGAAGTCAAGGTTGGACTTGGTGGAAATATGTGCAAGGGTCGAGTTACATCTTATGAGAAATGGAAAAATGCCAATATCGAACTTTCGATTGACCGCAGATGCTAAGAAGGCGTTGTTCGAGTGGATTACATCAGAAGTGAAGTTCCCAGATGGTTATGTTTCAAAATTTTCTAGATGTGTTGAGCAAGGCCAAAAATTCTCAGGTATGAAGAGCCACGATTGTCATGTCTTCATGCAGCAGTTACTGCCATTTGTGTTTCTTGAGCTTCTGCCAACACATGTTCATGAAGCTATTGCAGGTAATAATAGTATACTTAATTAATTCGTTTATGTACTAGTGTTATTTTTTACGTATAATTAATTAATTATATTATTTGATTAACTTATTAACTCATTTTACATAACCTTTGTAGGTATCGGAGCATTTTTCAGAGACCTATGCACCCGAACATTGTCTTGGGACGGCATTCAGCAGCTAGATGATAATATCCCGGTGTTGATTTGCAACTTGGAGAAAATATTTCCACCTTCATTTTTTGATGTGATGGAACATCTCCCAATCCATCTACCACATGAAGCAGCTCTTGGTGGACCTGTGCAATTTCGATGGATGTATCCGTTTGAGCGGTTTATGAAGTCTCTGAAAGGAAAGGCGAAAAATCTTGCAAGAGTTGAGGGATCGATAGTCGCCGGAAGTCTAACAGAGGAAACTTCCCATTTTACATCTTACTACTTTAGCCCTTCCGTGAGAACAAAAAAAACTCGTCTTCGAAGATATGACGACGGAGGTGTTGCACAAACCTATAACGTTCCTGATGTCCCGGATGTCTTTGCACAGATAGGAAGACTTGCTGGAAAGTTGAAAGAAGTTTGGTGGGAAGATCATGCCTATTGTCGAGCAGCTCACAATTACATCTTGCGTAATTTGGATTACATCCAATCTTTCGAGAGGTATAAAATTTGGATTTAATTTCATATTGATTTTTATTGTGTATTTAAACTTCTTTATGGAAATTGACATAATAACTTTTGAGTGTAGGATATTTGATTCGCAAATACGTGAAGCCTTTCCCAATTTAGAAGAAAAAGATTATGAATCTTACAAGGACCGTGATTTTGCTGGATGGTTGAAGTATTATGTAAGTATAGTAATGTAACCATATATATATATATATATATATTTATATATATATGACTTTTACATACTAATATAACAATGCATGATATATATATTTGCATGTATTTGAATAGGTTCAAAATGGATGTGGAAATGAACCCTTGCCTCTTTGGTTGCATGAGATCGTTCAAGAACCAAGAGCGAAGATCACTACGGCTCCGATGTACTTTACTCGCGGTTATACATTTCATACGTATAGACATGGAATTCGAAGAGCTACAGCAAATTACGGAATCTCAGTAAAAGCTGGTGATAGCGAATTCTATGGTATTTTGCAACAAATATTGGAAGTTGAATACCCGGGTCTTTTGAATCTGAAATGCATACTTTTCAAGTGTGATTGGTATGATCCAACTATGGGTCGAGGCATGCGAGCAAATAACTTGGGGGTCGTGGATGTTAACACAAACAAAACCTATGGAAGATTTGATCCTTACATCCTAGCATCACAAGCAGAGCAAGTGAGCTTTCTATCCTATCCTCGTTTGCGACAAAGACGTGAAATGTGGTTATCAGTTATTAAAGTGAATCCAAGAGGTCGTATAATCGGTGGTGCTTAAGGAAAAGCTAGCAGCAACTGAAGCTCTTCTTCAGCAGAGTATTGAGAAGGTTAATTGCTTGCAAGCTTATTTTGTTTACTTTGCTGAGAAGGATTCAGAGTTTGCTGCAAGGTTTTGATCTGGACACCCAGCTGGACCGACAGAGACAAACCAGACCGGGGCTGACATGACAAATCAGACTGAGGCTGCCACTGCATCTGCCCACATTGGAACCTCCTCTGCTATGGACTTGAACTCTTGACCACAATGGAACCTCCTCTGACCAAGTTGATATGATGACCTTTAGTTTTTGATTTTCATGATTGTAAATTTGTAAACCTAAACCTATGACTTTTATCATAATTCAGTTTCTAATTTCTATTTTTCATTTTATCATAATTCAGTTTGCAAGTAAATTTAAATCATAATTCAGTTTCTAATTTCAATTAGATTCATAGCATAAGTCGGCGAATGTTAATAAATGTATGGTATAGTGTAAAAACAAAAAAAAAAAAAAAAAGTGATGATTTGGTCTGTATACTAACCAATTGCAATATATGTGAGGGAATTGCAAGACAGTAATTTTGCAAGTAAATTGCAACCAAACAAGCTCTCGCAAATTTGCTACGACATTTGCGAGGCATGTAAACCCTCGCAAATATAGCGATAAAAGTGCTAGGAGTGAGATACTCGCAACTTGCTAGGGAATTTGCGAGACATGTAGTACCTCGCAAAATTTGCGAGTGAAGTGCGAGCGTTACAATTTGCGACTGAAGTGCGAGCGTTACAATTTGCGAGTCACGATTTGCGAGAAAAAGTCGTTTCTCGCAATTCCCTTGCGATTCACGTATTGCGAGGAATACGCTAGGCATTCTTCCCTAGCAATACGCGTGTTTTCTAGAAAACCTTTTATATCATTATATTATTTGTAGAAAACAAAACTTTTGTTTCTTTTATTTTATTTTGTTATCAAAAACTTTCAAACATATATTGTTATTTTTTTTTACGTTCATGAGTATATTATACTTTTGATATTTTGTGCGGATCAACATTAAAAATGGACAATGATGATTGTTATGTTTGTATATGCTATACGTTTTTGTCAGATTCTGTCATATGGTTATAGCTTTTTTCACCTAATATTTTTTAACCCACTTTTAAGTTTATGATATAAAAAGTTATAGATGTTTATAATCGTTACTAATTTTTTTCATTTAATAAGAAATGTCTTTCTATAGTTAAAATTATACACCAAGTTTAAATTGAAATATTATTGATCTTGCTATAATTTTAATCATGAGTTTAATTTTCAACGATTATATAAAAATAAATGTTGTATTATGTTTCCAATGGATTGTATGATAGGACGGGTTGCAAGAGGGAACGCTTGAATTGATATTAATAAAAAAAATTAAAATATATTTATCTCATACTTCAGTACGGGTAAAAATTTTCATTTTACTATTTTTAACAAAAATAATATATGACATATATAATTAAAATAATTTGGTAAAAATTGATATTATATAATCTTAATAATTATTAAATAAAATCCGCAAAATCTGTAAATTTTTAAAATATGAATTAAAAATAAAAATTAGGGTTAAAATGAAAAACTATTTGTCCCGCGCTGTACCGCGGGTTAAAATCTAGTATATATACATTTTTGAAGTATATTTTGTGCTAAAATAATGTTTGGCAATGATTTCCTAAAAAACCAATGTCTTAAACACTACTAATCTATTTCTTTAACTAAGATTTATCGTTCTTGTAATTCAAAAGCAAACTATCTTGCTAGTTCTTCCAGATCACTCGATTCAAAATTTTTTTTTTGTAAAAGATTTCCCTCCCGGTTGGGCTACCAATCATGGAATAATATTATAATTAATGTGTGGTTGACAAAAAAAAAACAACTAATCTCAAATCATTAAAGTTCTTTTCAAAAAATATGTATTTCGGATCAGTTCAAAATTAAAATTTGGAACCCAAAATCACATATCGGATCCTCACTGATTATTATTTTAATTCAAATTAAAATAATATTACTATATATTGAAGATATGGTAATATTCCGGTTGTTACCAAAAAAGTTAACCAAAAAACAAAACAAAAAAGTTATTACGGGGTAATATTCCGTAATATTTATGTTACAAACAAAAACATTATTACGGGGTAGTTTGCAAATAAAAGAAAAAATATGTAACAATCAAAATATTTATATCATTTAACCAAAAAAAACTCAATTATATTATTATACTAACTCATTTAAATTTAAATGATTTATATAAAAAAATAGATATGTAATGTACCACGGAGTAAATCATAGTTACTTAGTATATTTGTAAGTTTCTTTTATATCCTCATCCAGTTTTATTTTGTGTGTATTTATATTTGATATATTATAAAGAATGGCACAATTTATTTTTCATGTACTAGACATCTATCTTTTATGGTTGACTCTTGTCATAAATGTGTAAGTAATGAAGTCAACGGAGGTTAGATCCTTGACTCGTTGATAAAGTTTGGATATTGCTCACATACATCTGTCTCCACAACAAATGGTTGATCAAACAAAACTCATTATGTTATCATTTACTCGTTTTCTACTATTTTATTCAAAATCATTATACAAAATATATAATTTATTGTAATCGACTATACTACAATAAAATAAAAATATAACATATTCTAATACGTTAAAAGTCGTACGTATATATAAATGATTTTCATGCGCGGTAGAGCGCAGATCCAATCCTAGTTTCTTGTTTATAGAAGAGTGGTTAAGACTTTTCTTTGTCTTTTTATATTTGGAATAAGATAAAGAAGGGCCACAATTTATTTCATTTTCTAGACATCCATCTTTTATGGTTGACTCTTGTCATAAATGTGTTAAGTAATGAAGTCAACGCTAGTTAGAACCTTGCACTCGTTGATTAAGGTTGGAATTGGATAGTGTTTTGTTCTTTTTTCTCATCTTAAAGAGTTAACTTCATTAGAATACAGAGATAGAGACTATCACGTGATCATCTTCTCTTAACACAATATAGAGTAATATAAACACAGCTTCTTCTTTCTTGAAACAAAGCTTGAATGTGAAAAAAAACTCATGCATGCACGTACGTGTTTACAACTTGATTACTTTGGTAAAGTTTTATTTACTATGTCATTGTATTTGGGCTTCTACTTCTCTTATGACCCACGAGAGTCATGGTCCATATATATTATAAAGACCCTAACTGATCTTTTCAAAGAGAAAAGTGAAAAATAGTGTGCAATAATGATAAAGGAGTTGTTGCTTCAACTACTTGCTATGAAATGCATCAGCCATTTGACTCATTAAAGAAGACAGCCATAAGTTAGATATATCATTAACATCTCAACATCATCTCTCTCTCTCGTCAACGTTATCAATTTCCCATACGTCTCTCTTAGCAAATGTAATTCTTATGACAACTACACCTTCTTTTTTTTTCCTTTCAAGTTATAAAACTAACAATGTCTTTTTTTTAGAAAATTACATATCAAAATTACATTTTTAGAAAATATTTATGTTGTGGTTCGTTTGTGGGGTTATATCATAATTTTTTTACAACCGATGTTTTTACCCGATAAGATAAATAAATAAAAATTGTTTTGTGAATTTCATATAATTTTTTACATCATATTTCACTTTCTTCCTCTTTTTTTGGGATTTTTTTTTTGGGATTCTTATGAAAATTTTCATTTTCTAGAACAAACTTTACGGACATGTTATTCTTGCTAAAATCTTATGAATTTGTTATTTTTGAACACTTAAAAATGTTTAGTTAATTTATGAATTTTTTTGCTAAAATAAAAATTTAAGAGTAAATATTAAGGTCAAAAAAAATAGAACTGCTAAACCCAAATATAATGAGTAAATTACATGTTTAGTCACATTTTTTTAATCTGGAAAATGGTCCATATAAATTTATGAAAAATAGCAAATCTAAAAACTTGCTCCAAAAAAATGGCATACCTCATAGTTGATTATTTCTTTTTCGTAAGACAGCTATATCGAACACACGTACTTAAAGAAACCCATTTGGGCATGTGTTGTTGTCCTTGCTAAGTCACATGCATAATTTTGCTTTTTCTTTTTTTTTTTTAAGTTTACATTTATGAGTAAATGATATTTGACGTTTTCTTATATACGACCAATTCAAACCAATATATGTAGCTAGAGAACAATTTAGTCAGTATAACTTTTCTTATGTAAATGATTTACAAATTTGTGCCACTCGTATGTATTCCTTTTCTTTTAAAGATGTTAGTAGGGTTACTAGTGAAATAACCCATCGCTATCTCAAAACTTTAACATAATAGACATTGAGACAGTGAATGATTTGAGTTATTTCCTCATTTGGAATTGGTGTTTATAGTTATTTACCCTTTGAGACTTGGAAACATCATCTCACTTTAAGTTCTCCTACTGTGTTAGGGTTAGACTCTCATGGTGGGAGTCCCATTTACTCTTTAATGCAAATGAATGGGCTTTTATCGTTTGATCCAAGGAACATTTGATGCTATGATACAATGAATCATCGGATTTTAAAAAATGAGACCATCACAAGGCAAGAAGGTTATGTTGACAATCATGTTGCAACAAACACTTCACTAAATCCTAGCTTGATATTGAATAAAGTAACAAACCACACACTTATCATGTTATTTATGCTAGGTTTATGCTACAAATTGTTCACTATTCTAGGGCGGTTTTATAAATGGATAAGTGCATTTTATAGTTAGAGATGTTAATGAAGTAAAGTCCCACATCGATAGTCGATAGTTGGAGAATTGATCAAGTAATATATATAAGGTTATGATCAATCTATTTATTGCCAACTTGTTTTGAGTTAGAAAATCCATGTTTAAGGCGAAATTTATCACGGTATCAAAACCTTGATTGTGTACGATTCTGACTCAGAACAAGCAGGTTGTGAGTAGATTAGCTCTAAACATATATACTGTATATTACTTTATAAATTCTCCAACTACCGATGTGGGACTTTACTTCGTTAACATTTCTACTATAAATATGGTCATCTTTAGATACACAACAACTTCTCTGGATATTGCTCTTTCTGTAATATCTTTTTTCAAATGTTATACTAGGATATCTTGTTTATACATTATTTTGTGTTTAACTAATGTGTTAAGTAATAAAACAGGCGTAGTATAGAAGAACATTACAAATGCATTAGTATGTCTTTATCTCATTTGTAAAACTTTTAAAATCGTGAATGGGATCTTAATCACTATTATTTCATGTGGGGAATATTGCTAGCCAACAGGCTGAAAGTGTCTTAAAAGCTCATTTCTGTGTAATGTAGCCGCCCAAAAAATATATATACTAATGTATATGTCATGTTCATCGGTTCATCGTAAATAACAAAAGTTATAGATTATAAATTTAAATTGAGTTGTTGAGTATTTATTTAAATTAGTTAACACTTTGGCAAAACTTGTGAACAAAATTTCCATATATTCAAATCATGAATATTAGTCTAAACAATTCAACAGTCACAAATACTATAACAAAAAGATTACATTTAAATCATGAATAAATTTGTGTAAAGTTGTAAACTTCTTGCTTCGCAATTTGATGTTTCATTACCTGCAAGATAGACGTGTGTTGTCCTTTGTGGCTAGCTTTACTCATATTGTTCGTTGCTCGAGCTATTGTTTATGTTTCTGACTCTTTTATTACGTCTTTTGTCATTTATACTATCGGTTCTAGTTAGAGCATCTCGACCACATCTCTATATTTACCTCTATACTCTATTTTAGAGGCAAATTTACTCCAACAGTCCAACCCATCTCTATTCTCATCTTTAATATAGAAATTGCTATATTATTCTTTATATATAGAAAAATTCCTCTATATATAAAAGAAAAATAGAGTTCTCTATTATAAAGGTGTATATTAGAATAAAACTTACTTCTATTATAGGGTACTACTTACTTCTATTATAGGGTACTTCGATTTTAGAGATAAAAATAGGAAAATACATTGGAGATGGTTTTAGATTATCTGTAATTTTAGAGCTTTCGATTCGTTATGTTAATCTATCGTTTCTCCCTTTTTGGCTTTTAAATTCCGGAGATATTTTGTGTTTCCACCGACTTGTATATTTTAACAATGTATTATTTTCTTGAAATGATAATTAAAACATATGACAAAAAAAACAAGTTTATGAACAATTCTCCTCCCAAATGGCTCTTTTGAGCTCATCATAGTTTTTGACGGAAAAAAAGATTAGCATCCTATTTTCCTCTTTTTTTTTGGACTAGTCATATATATGTTTAACATATATATGAGCTCATCATTAAAAAAAATTAGTTTCCACTTTAATTGAGCTTAAACTCTACTTTGTAAAGTTTTTTCTTATAGCATAAATAAATTTACATTATAAAATAAATAATAACCAAAGCTAAGATTAGATATGTTGTACATCAATCATACTATAACATATATAAAGCAAACAGTTTTAAGTGTTCATAACAATCTTAACATCCAAATTTATATATTTGTCTTACTATCATGTTCTAAACAAAAACCAAACCACAAACCTGTCGGTTTTTAACCAAACCAAGTTACTTCTAGCTTAATCCAATACAAAAAGAAAAAGAAAAGAAACATAAACTGATCAAGAAACCCAAATTGACAAATTGTCAAAAAAACAAAGTGGTCACCCTTATTACCCCATTCAACATATGATGATAGTATAAAAAAAAAACCTTATAATAAATGCAAACATAAGATCCAAAACTACACCTTATACAACGGAGGAATTAAGAGTGACATAACTCACTCCAACTACGACCAGTACTAGTAGTTGGCGACATTAACTACTCTCTCACCAACCACCAAACCCAATCCCCACAATATTACCATTACTCTCATATAACTACACAAACTCATATTTACATTTTTTGCCAAACACAAACTCTTTATAAGATATACACTTCATAGATCTCACTCACATAACCAAAACCTAAAAAGAAAAAAAATGGGTAGATCCAACGAGCAAGATCTACTCTCTACCGAGATTGTCAACCGCGGGATCGAACCATCTGGTCCTAACGCTGGCTCACCAACGTTCTCGGTTAGGGTTCGAAGACGTCTTCCTGATTTTCTCCAGTCTGTGAACTTGAAGTACGTGAAACTTGGTTACCACTACCTCATCAACCATGCGGTTTATTTGGCGACCATACCTGTTCTTGTCCTTGTGTTTAGTGCTGAGGTTGGTAGTTTAAGCCGTGATGAGATTTGGAAGAAGCTTTTGGACTATGATCTTGCAACTGTCATAGGTTTCTTTTGTGTCTTTGTCTTAACCGCTTGTGTCTACTTCATGTCTCGTCCTCGCTCTGTTTACCTCATTGACTTCGCTTGTTACAAACCTTCCGATGAACTCAAGGTACGTTGTCCCAATCTTTTTCATAGTCTAATAACTAAGTTTTACTTAGAAATTATAGTTAGATGTATTAGTTTATAGATAGTGAAGCCTAATTAATCAAATTACCTAATTTGTTAATTTGCATGTGTTGGTTAGTAATTATTTTTTAGTTTATGAATGTTGCCAAATTTTGTAATTGGAGTTATAAATTTTGTTTATAAAAATCTTATGTACGACTATAATCAAAGGATATTGATAAGAACCGGACTGATAATTATACGAAAGTTAACCATTCAATTCCGGTTATTTCCGGTTTAATATTTTTGCTTTTGGTCGGTTTAGGTGACAAAAGTCCATTCAATTCTGGTTATTTACGGTTTAATAGTTTTGTTTTGGGTTGGTTTAGGTGAAAAGTCCATTCAAATCCGGCTATTTCCGGTTAAATAGTTTTGCTTTGGGTTGGTTTAGATGAAAAAAGTCCATTCAATTCCGGTTATTTCCGGTTTAATAGTTTTGCTTTGGGTTGGTTTAGGTGACAAAAGAAGAGTTCATAGAGCTAGCAAGAAAATCAGGAAAGTTCGATGAAGAGACACTTGGTTTCAAGAAGAGGATCTTACAAGCCTCAGGGATAGGTGACGAAACGTACGTTCCAAGATCCATCTCTTCATCAGAGAACATAACAACGATGAAAGAAGGACGTGAAGAAGCTTCTACAGTGATCTTTGGAGCACTAGACGAGCTCTTTGAGAAGACACGTGTCAAACCTAAAGATGTAGGTGTCCTTGTGGTTAACTGTAGTATCTTTAACCCTACACCATCATTGTCTGCAATGGTGATTAACCATTACAAGATGAGAGGGAACATACTTAGTTACAACCTTGGTGGGATGGGATGTTCTGCTGGGATCATAGGTCTTGATCTTGCTCGTGACATGCTTCAGTCTAACCCTAATAGTTATGCTGTTGTTGTGAGTACTGAGATGGTTGGTTATAATTGGTACGTTGGTCATGACAAGTCCATGGTTATACCTAATTGCTTCTTTAGGATGGGTTGCTCAGCTGTTATGCTCTCTAATCGTCGCCGTGACTTTCGCCATGCTAAGTACCGTCTCGAACACATTGTTCGGACTCATAAGGCCGCTGATGACCGTAGCTTCAGGTTTCATTCTTTTGTACTTTTTACAGTCTTATGATGACCTAGCTAGTAGCTAATGGTTTTGTGGTTTTTAGGAGTGTGCACCAAGAAGAAGATGAACAAGGCTTCAAGGGTTTGAAGATAAGTAGAGACTTAATGGAAGTAGGAGGTGAAGCTCTCAAGACAAACATCACTACCTTAGGTCCTCTTGTTCTCCCTTTCTCCGAGCAGCTTCTCTTCTTTGCAGCTTTGCTTCGTAGAACTTTCTCACCTGCGGCTAAAACCTCCACAACCACTTCCTTCTCATCTTCCCTCAATGCCAAAACCAATGGAACTACTACCAAGTCCTCTTCTTCTGATCTCTCCAAGCCATACATCCCTGACTACAAGCTAGCCTTCGAGCACTTCTGCTTCCACGCAGCAAGCAAAGTAGTACTCGAGGAGCTTCAAAAGAATCTTGGCTTGAGTGAAGAGAACATGGAGGCTTCTAGGATGACACTTCACAGGTTTGGAAACACTTCCAGCAGTGGAATATGGTACGAGCTTGCTTACTTGGAAGCCAAGGAAAGTGTTCGAAGAGGAGATAGGGTTTGGCAAATTGCATTTGGATCAGGTTTTAAGTGTAACAGTGTGGTGTGGAAAGCAATGAGGAAAGTGAAGAAACCTACAAGGAACAATCCTTGGGTTGATTGCATCAACCGTTACCCTGTGCCTCTCTAAAGATTGTTTCTAAAGTAAAAAATCATGTAAGATCTCTAGTTACTCCAACCAAATGATGCATGAGACAGTTTTGGTTTGGATGATAGGAGTTGTTTTACTGATTCATTCGTATCTAAGTCTTGCTGTAAGAATGGATTTGGTTAGAGAGACCTCTTCAGCTTCAACTTTGTTTTTATCATTTGTTTGTTCTATTCGACCCTTCATAAACTTTGAGAGATCAAAACAAAACTTTTCTTTCTTTGGATAGAACAGTTATTTTTTGTAATTTTCTTTATTCAAAGTTAACAATCACTTTCTATAATTAGATCTGTTCTATAATTAGTAAAAACCCATTGCATGATAATGTATTCCACATGATTGACAATGTTGAAGATATATTTAATGGAAAACACTATACTAATTTGAAAAATATTTAAATTTGACTATTAATATGCTCAAACTTACAACTTATATATATATATATATATATATATATCGTTCTATCGTATTACCAATTATATCGATTTATTACAAAAATCATACGATCTCTTACCCAAATCTACAACCGTTCGTATGCAGTCATATAATATGATTGTATGAATGGTTTATTTTTATTTAGTTATAACTACAATTTAAACTTTCATATATAATACAAGCTTTTAAGTCTTTAACTATGATTAATTAAGTGGATAATGGATGATTGGATGTCATACTTTTTTTATTTTAGTTTTGATCTTATAATAAATACTAAGATAGCTTTTGCAAGTTAAAAGAAATGGCAAGTTGTGTTTTCCAAACATTTGATTTGATATTGTTTTTGACGAGAAAAATATATTAAAATTTACTTATGCTACCATATGATTTTTTTTTTCATTTAAATAGTTGATTAGTGGAATGTCCACCTTGATAAAGTTATGACATAAAATATGAGAATCACCTTTAAATAGTTGATTAGTAAATTGTCCACCTTAAAATAGTTTATTTTTTAAATACAAAGTTTAAAGAATTTATTGTCTTTTATACCAAAATTGACATATAGTTAGGAAATGAAGTCAAAAGAAAAGTTTGCACCTCACCTGCACAACCAAAACACATCAAGAAAAATGAAAGTGATGAACATCAAACAAACATTATCAATAACAACATGAAATATTTGGAGCTTATATATGATTATATATATTATTATAAACTTCATCCATAATGTTCGGCAACATTTAAACAATGATTATATTGTTTGTCATTATAGGTTATAATGTTCGGCCACATAAGATTTATGTTTTAGGTGGTTTACCTTAAACTTGTTATATCAAATTGCTCTTACTTCAGTTTTTCTACTATACATGTTTTTGCTATTGATATATGTGATTCACTAAGGAAAAAATACTACCATAGCTAACAGTCTTATATACTTAGTGCATCACCACTGGAGATTGCATGAGAATTGAAAAATAAAAATAATAATATTTTAAATATATATATTTTTAATTAAATTTTAAATGATAAAAAGAAACAGACAATTAATATAAGGGCACCTCCAATGGGAGGTTTTTGATGGGACACTAACTATTAAATTTTTTTAAGAAAATAGAAAGTGTGAGAGAGAATTAATACACAAGTTCAAAAGTACGTAAGCTAAGCACTTCAATTAGAGGGTTTTAGTACACATGTCTTTATGTGAATGGTTTAACTCATATTTTTTATCAAAAATTAATTCAAGAATTTAATTAAATAAAACTATTAATATTTTATTTTTAAAATACTCAAAATAAGAGTTCACCATAACTGATGCTCTAGCAACATTAGATAAAGGAACAGTTCTTTGAAATCCTCTTTAGAGCCCTCTCACCATTCATCGTTTTCTCTCTCTTATTGATTAAATATTTTTATTATTTTAATTATGAGAATTTCTTTAGAGTATCTCCGGTGGACATGGTCTTACTATTCTTATAACAAAATACCCCACTGATTTCTTGTACTGTTTTCTTGTAGTATGTCAAAAATGCGAATATATTTTTGTACTAAATCAAAATTTTTTTGATAATTTGAATTGTATTGCCATAGATATATATTTGACTTTTATGCTTATATTTTCTTCGTCTCAAATAACTTTTAATACCGAAAACAATACCAGTTAAATCAATAACAACGACATTATTTGGTGTTTATCTGATATGAACACATGAATGGCGTCCTACTTTGCTGAGACTAATGTGTTCATGAATTCGTTTGCAAAATTGAATCATATAGTTTTATTTGGTCTTAGTTTCAATAAAAGTGATCATATCAATAAAGTAGAACTAGCGATGGACCCGCACTATTTTGTAATTAAAATTAATCAAAATTTAATTTTAAGTTAAGTTTCAATAAAGTAAACATGAAAATTTTAATTAGAAGATCATATTAATTTTAATTTTAATTTTTCGACGAAAGCTCTTTATCTCTCTCCATATCAAGAAGATCATATTAATTTTAATTTCAATAAAGTAAACATAAAAATACAACTAGAAGATTACAAAAATAATAAATTTAAATTCAGAATTTACTATTAGTGTGAAAATATTATATAGACATATAGTTGGTAAGACAGATATATGTAAAACAATTCTTGATTTGGATCCGCACGTAGTTTGATGAAGGTTAAATAGACTTAATGAATGTTTAATATAATAATGATTTCATCTATATATTGAAATTTATATTGATTGTTAACCGGATTACTGATCGGTTAGGGTTTCTATTAAACTCGTGAATTTGATAACTTAAACAGACCTTTCAATAATTATTTTAGGAATATTCATATTTCTTTTTTAACTTATAATTATTTCTTTTACAAATAGAAAATTGTGTATACTTAACTCATCCACTTGACGCGTGTATTTATATTGCTACTATTACATGTTATTTTGTTTTTAGTTTGCAATATATATATATAAAACTATGAGTCTACACCTACTAATCATAGTCAATAAGATCAATGTCATTATCATGACTTGTGAGAACGAAAGAATGTTGCATTTTATTTTATTTAAATAATTTGTTTAAAAATATATTGATTTTGTTTCATAATATTTTTGTGTTAGATCAGAAAATCCTCGATGATTCTGTTACATGCAAAATATATTTTATCATTAACATTCGAAAGTACCGTGTGATATTTTATTAGTATACGAAATACATATGTTAATACTTCATACATATTTTATCCTACATATACATATTTTGTATAATCTTTTTAGTCCAATGGATATATAATAGACAAGAGTTTTAAGGATATATTAGAGTCGGATCCGCGCTACAGCGCGTCAGAAAAGTTTCGACATGTTTTTCTTTTATAAACAAAAACATTTTCCTAATGAGAAATTTTTCTAGTTGTGTTGAAAATTTTTCATGATAAATAAATATTATTGATTAAATAGTTGCAATTGGGAGAATGGGGTAATTATTCTGTTTTTGTTAATCCATATAGTTTAAATTTTGGTGGGTACATAACTAATATATTTTTTAATAATAAGTGTTCACTAAAAGTGAATAATTTTTCCATATAATTTGAAATTATATTTATGTAAGATTTGGTATTACAAAGTATTTGGTTGTAAAACTTAAGTGGTGTGTATTATATTCTGACCCGTTGCAAAATTATCAATAATTTAAATATATATTCTGCCCCGTTGCAAAATTATCAGTTAATATTTATAATATATATTTTTTTTTATCTTTTGTTAATCCATACATTTTAAAATTTAACTATTATGATATTTTGAAGCTTTTAAAAAAACTTAACAATGTATATAAATAGGCCCATGCAAATAAACATTCTTTGAACTAACATAGTCCATTAATCGATAAAACCCATATTGAGCCCATACTACTTGATCAATCGATCTTCTCCATCCTCCTCCACCTCTTCCAGTAGTCCTTACTCCTTAATCCGCCACCGCAGCTATCGGCTACTGCCGCTGTTTCGGGAATTTCCTCCTCTGCTACGGACCTGTTCTGTTTTTGTCAATGGATGTACGAAACCTAACTTTCTTCTAATCCACCGCTTCGTCTTGTCGTCCTCTTGCATGTGTATAAAATGCAGAGTAATCGAGTTCTCCAATATAAAAAAGCTAGGTAAATTGTCTTTCAATAACTCCTTCCAACTTTATTTGTTAATGTTGTGTCATATTAAAAATCTGTTCTTTTTTTTTTTGACAACAAATCGAATAGATTTACCTAAGAAAGCCAATTGTAAGGACAATTGTTTACAAACTTAGCAATATGTGGTAAGACTCGCACCTTACGAACCAAATTATCCGCAATTACATTTACACTTCTTGAGATAAGAGAAAGAGTAAAAGTAGCAAATTCTTCCCGAATGTGTCCCAAAGTCGTGGATCAATCATGAGCGTGCTAACAGTACCATCCTATGCCTGAATATTTATCCATATCTTTCAAAAACCCATAGATAAAGCACCTATAACCAGAAGAGAGAGACTGTATATGGGAGACCCGATTGCACATCCGCGAGCTATCGACCAGGGGTTCCAGAGCAACATTCTCATCGTCAATCTGGGCCGCCTGCCAAGCACTTGCTTCTTCTTTTGCCAATTTAGTAACATCCAAAGGGCATCTATCCAAATTGTCAAATAGTTTAGCATTTCTAGCCTTCCAAATATACCATATTAAAATCTGATTTTCATAAGAAATTGAGTGAATCATGACTCAATTTGAGGAAAATTAGTTCTTTTAATTTACTGGATCTTCTTATTTGTTGGACTGTTATTTCTTACAACTTAAGGCTTTTTTTCTTTTTAGCCGAAATGGTATTGAGAAGTCATTTAGTTCCTAAAAATCTATAAAAATTACACTTTGTTAGATGAAATTTTAAAAGTCACAGTATACTTTATTTGATAATCATAAAGTTTTTGAAATTCATAGACCTTCAAAATAGAGAAGGTACACATAATACCGATAGAAACGAAATAAAGGAGAACTTTACTCGTTAGTATTTACATCTTTAGTCTTCTCATAAGAGTTTGATTTAGTGCATTCTTTATTTGGTGTATATGGTCATCATGTGAAAAAAATCACATTCAAAAAACTCAGCTTGTAAAAAAATGTGGTACTACCTTAAACTATTCAGTCACATGAGCTAGTCTAAACTTTTCGATAACTTTCCAATCTCCATGAGATCTCTCAAAACGATTGGCATGTTCTTTCCACAGAAAAATGGCTTTTTCACCCTACAAATCAATTACACGAAAATATAAATAATTGGATTTTATAAGTTTAAAAATAGAATAA